GATATACAGACAAACACTGGCAGTTAAAAATAATTATCTATATATACGTCTATAATATTGAAAACAAAAATTGCCCATAGCGAAATTCTAGCTCTAATTAGTGTTTCACACACTAATTAGAGCTAGAATGTTTAGCTCAATTTATTTAATAGATCACCTAACTAACTATTATTTACGAAAAGAACATTCTAGAATTACTATTAAACAAATTTAAAATAATAATCTCAGGACAATTCACACACAAGTTAAGCTAGCTAAAGCTTGTGTTATGGATACTATCTAATACATATTATACATAGAAGATACCCAGACCGATACAAACAATCATAATCAGGAATACAAATGTTTTTGTCGTACGAGGAATCGAACCCGCGACCATCGGAAGTAAGGCGGTGTGCTAAACCACTAGACCACCGAGGTCGTCAAAGTAAAAGTTCTGCTAAATTATATTTACTGACCGGTCTCTTACTCACCATTACAATTAAACAGGTAAATACTAAACAATTATGGACATTACTGGCGTAATATATAGTTAGAACTAAATCATCATCATCTGCTTCTTCCTTATCCCATTTATTTGTGGTCGACGTAATATGTTTTTCGCTTCCATTCATCCCTGTTCGCAGTCATCGCGTTATTCACTTCCTTTCTTACCATATCATCTTTCACACAGTCCATCTCTTTTTCGGCCTTCCTCTGCCCTTATAACCATCCACATTCATTTGTAACATCTTTCTTAAAATATTATCCTCGTTCCTACGCATTACATGTCCATACCATGATAGACGATTAGTCTTCAACCTCTCTGACACCGGCGCCACTTTCATACTTCCTCTAATGTATTCATTCTTTATATTATCCATTCTTGTCACACCACACATCCACCTCAACATTCTCATTTCAGTCGTCTTTCATCCGTCGCCTTTACGGGACAGCACTCTGATCCATACAAGACAGCAGGCCGGATCATGGTCTTGTAAATAGTTAGAACTAAATAATATATATATATTACTATGGTGGCAAACAAGCATAAGGCCCATCTGATGGTAAACGGTTACCGTAGCATATGAACGCCTGAAACACCAGGAGTGTCACGTGAGCGTTGCCAACCTTGAAATATAAAAATACGACTACAAAACTTAAAAAAAATAGTACCAATCTGAAAGTATACTCTTTCAAATAAAACACTTTCTTTTCAATATCTGTTTATAAATGACGGAGTTGTGAAATAAGTACAACTCAATTAAGAAACTCCTAATTTTTGGACGCGGTTGTAAAGAAATAAAGCTGGACCCTTAAAAAGTCGTGGTGTGTGATTAATTAAAAAAAAAAAAAATTACTTCTAAAACCATAGTGACAAAACCGAGTCCTGTTGGTGAGCAACCACAGCGTCTGTAGCTAATGAGTCGGCCTCAATAAGTGGGTAACTATAGTAATTATCTCCCAGATTAAACCCACAGCCTGCGGCCCAAGATTCGGGTCAATTTCGTAAGCGGTGATCTCATCCCGCAAAAATCTCGACTTACGGGATTGCGAGTCGAGGGAACCGCATTATTTTAATCGATTATACTTTTTGGCAGTATGAATAGAGGTCCTTTGTGCTTCAAATGCTTTGTTAAAAAAATATATATTTCAAATCAAATAAAAAAGTCTTTTATTCATGTAGGACATTTTAGCCGCTTATGAATGTCAAATGTTTTGGATAGGACGGTAGGGAAAAATATAAATCAATTGAGAAGAACTGGCAAGAAACTGGAATAGAGTGACCACCAGCATATGCTGTTTACAAACAGACAGTCAAATTTTATATATTTTTATACATACCTACCAGTGATTCAGCGGAACTACAGATATGGTATCGCCAAACCGGTTTGTCAGTTCGATTCCAACTTCGTGGTGTAAGATTTTTTTTTATTTAGAATATATTTAATGGTTTTGAACTCTTCAAGGACACAGACAGACATTCTCTGGTGTTGCTAAGCAAGGATATTATATGTAGTTAATAATTTGTATTGGAAACAAGCTGACAAAGCTCCAAATGGCAAGATTTACTTGAATTTTTACTATTACTTTTAAAAAAAGCAGTAAAGTAGAATGTTTCAAATAAAGCATTTATTATTTTTTATTCAAACATTTGGATTCATGGGTTGATTCATGATTGTTTGTATCGGTCTGGGTGTTGTCTATGTATAATATGTATGTATTTACAAAAAAAAAATCTATGCATTTGTATCAGTTATCTACTACCCATAACACAAGCTTTAGCTAGCTTAACTTGGGTCTAGATGGCGCTGTGTATTGTCCTGAGATTATTATTATTATTTAAATACATTTTTTTAGTTGTCTTTTTAACCGTAACGTTTAGGGAAAAAAGTAGGCATTAGCATTTTGTTTGTGAAGCGCGAGGAATCGAACCCTCGACCATCGGAAGTAAGGCGGTGTGCTAAACCGCTAGACCACCGAGGCCGTCAAATAGTAGTTCGATCATTTTTTAGTCATCATTTTTTTTATAGATGTTTATGGTATAGTTCACCCGCCTGCGCTAACGGTATACGCTGACGGGGCACCAGTGGAGGATGATAAGGTGAGCATGAGGTCAGGTCAGTTAGCACATCTTGACAACTCACCAGAAATTTATCACGATGGTTTCCAGGGGGAACCGCGTGGAGGTCAACCTGACATGGTACATTGCTAGCAATGGGTTATGAGTCCACATTACTAACATGACGGTTACGTCATGTTTAGGGACAAATTCCATACTGCCATATGCAACAACTGTAATTGAAGTCCCATTGTCATTTAGAACAGGGATGTTATGGACATGAAATTTCGGATACGGATAGGTTTCGGATACAGCAATGATTATTATACCGGATACGGATACGGATGCGGACTAAATTATTTCGGATCATCCGTTAATTTCGGAGAATTTCTGTTACAGATATAAACTTTATAAGGAATTTCAAAAGTAAAATACAAATAACTAATAAAATGGTTGCATAACGTGTCTCAATTAGGCTTCGCCGCTGTCCGATATTATCCGGAACTGTTATATCCGATTCGGTTACGGTTACGAATATTTTTTTATATCGGATATCCGATAGTTTCGGTTACGGTTAAAATTTAAAAAATAAAACTAAATATCTTTATTCATGTAGGTCTATTACAGACTCTTATGATATGTGAAATCTACCGGCAGGTCGGAATGATATCGAGATGAGAAGAACTGACAAGAAACTCAGCTTATATTTTTTCAAATAATAGTGGAACATGTTTATAATAATAAAATTCAAATTTGCGAGAATAGAGTGACCACCAGCATATCGCAAAGAACAAAAAAAAATTATCAGTGTTCGCAACCTGAACAGACTTCCAGAGCTCCCTAACATCCCTGATTTTAAATAGGCCATTTTACTTAATTATACTCCTTAAAAATTCCCTACTATGCTCCTATGTGGTACGATAGTTAATACTGAGCGTGAATTTTATAAATTACTAGCCCTTCCCGCGACTTCGTCCGCGTGGAGTTTAACTTTATTTTTCTAAAATAAAAGTATCCTAAGTTACGCCTTATTACATCAGCTACCTGCCAAAAAACGTCCCGTCAAAATCCGTCCAGCCATTTTAGAGATTAGCCGGTACAACAAGACAGACAAACAGACAAACAAAAATTGTAAAAAATGTTATTTTGGTATATGTACCGTATTTATATTCATATGCATGTAGTAAAAAACGGTTATTTCAATATTACAAATAGACACTTCAATTTTATTTATTTGTATAGATGTATAGATATATGAAATTTTACAGAGTAATACCGTAATACAGAGAATTAACAGTATACAGTAATAGTTATACTGTGTAGCTAGTTATTTTTAGCATATTTGAATTTAGAATATGTAGTCAAACAAAATTTTATCCTTGTTCGAGGGACGCATCCAGTATATTCAAAAATAACTAAATAAAAATTCATTTTGTTTTTTCATTATTTATTTTTAAACCATATAGAAAATAAATTAAATACACTGCTAAGTATTTCTTCATGGTTATTTTCGTAGTCCCTTCACATTTTCATGACAAGGACGAGTTAGTTCGTCCGGCTTTTTTTTTTTTTTGAGTTCCAGTAATTAGGTACAGGTACAATACTCGATGATTTTAATTGTCGATTTAATTATTCAATTAATTATTTATCGATTAATTCGATTTATTCATAACTAACGTCACTATGTTGATCGCTGAACTGAAGCCATAGCCAGACTGCAATAATATTATATTACGTAGGTATTGTAAGTTGCACATTTTACCTCTGTAGCACAGCGGTGAAAGCTGTTATTTCTTGTAATGTGCTTCCGGATTCAATTCATGACTGGCTAATATTTACATTTTTTTATTTAATATTTCGAATGTATGCAAGATGTAGTCTGTATAAGGACACTTATAGCAACTTATGTTATTTTTAAACTCTTGACGAAAAATGAGGTGTGTTTATAAGTTTAACGTTTCTGTCAGTGATAATACAGCTTGCGAACGGTTGCACCGATTTTGATGCGGTATTTTTTGTTTGAAAGCTCATGTAATCGTGATGTTCCTTAACTATAATTTATGGAAATATGTTTTTAATATCGTATTTTCTAGATGACGATGGGAATTAATGAACGTTTAATTTTTTTTTTTAATTTTTAATTTAGGGATATGTGACACTTAGTAGTCAAAGGACAAAACGTATTCTGATATAAATTCAATATAAAATAATATTGCTATAAAAAAATATATATAATTGATATCTTTTGCTCTATTGTTTAGCTAGAAGATAAATATCATTGTTCACACGTCAATGTTAAGTTTCTTCATCTGCCTCGAGTATCATAGTGTACTGTTTTCCCCTATAAACAAGAAAGCTTGATCACACAACCGAGTGTCACCGGCGCGGGAGCGGTCAACGCCTTCCCAGGCATTTCCCAACTCGTCTCGCAACTTGTAGAGGCGTCAATTAAACTCACCTCGATTATTATTCCTGCGCCTCTTTTAGACACGTCACTAATTAAGAAAAAAAACACTGATATAGATAATTAAAAAGAAAATTAAGAGGTATTAAGACAATAAACGAGTGATATTCCAATTTTGAATTACGGATTCAATAACTTTTTTTTAATTTGTATTAGCGGCCTGTATTTAAAGCACGATTCAATAAAAGTAATCGATTAAACGTCATATTTAATTAAATCGAGCGGGACTACGGGAACATGTACCTACTAACGCGCGCTCCCGCGCAAGCCGGCGTCAAACTAGTTTGGTTAACTTTGGTTCGTTGCCCATAGTTGCATTTACATGCGTTACAGACAGAGAGAGGTATATTCCTCTTTTATTCCTTTCAGGTTGATATTTCGTGGTAACTACGGTTCTGACAAGCGATCATGTTTATTTTATCGTATGATAATGTATCATTGATAGGAACGTAGCGTTAATTTGTATGCACTGCCAGTTGTGTTAAACAATACTAGTAACATTATTATAGTACAATAGTCCTATGGTTTAGGGCATGAACGTAAATAATGTATCCAAATAGAATGTTAGAATCTATTCTAATATTATGAAATGGTAAATTTTATGTGAGTTAGAGATTAGAAATAATATCCGATTTAAAAATTCTTTAATTGTTAGAAAGGTATATCATCCACGAGTGCTATAGGCTATATAACATCACGTTACGATTAATAAAAGCGGAGCAATGAAAAATGGGGCAAAATATATTCATTTTCAGTGCTTCCGCTGCGTTGAAGTTACACAAACAATATGTATGACGGTGTTGTTCTCCATTAAAAGTTCTAAAAGTATGTCTGGGAAAAAACGTCTATATTTTTTTGTGGTTAACTCTCTATAGACTTTTTTAAGGTAATCAAATTTCTTCTAAAAATAATTAATTATATGCGAAGGTGTTTTTAATAACATGATATTAATGCTAATTCAAATAAATACGATCAGGTTAAAAGTTAAAATATAGGGCCCATGCGAAGCCGTGGCGATCTGCTAGTGTAACATAAAGTAGGAAGGAAGTTTTGTTTGAGATAACATCATTCCCGTGTTAATTGTAAACTCATAAATATTGGTTTTGATAAATGCTTTAGGTACAATAACACATTATAATTGTGAAAATTGTTATTTACTGAACTAAGAAACACCCAGTTATCATCAGACAAGCCGTATGCTATTTTACTGCGTTGTGTTACGGTACCATTCCAATTAGAATGATTGAAGATTGTAAAATAATTAAGATCAAGTCTAATAAAACATGCGATAGAACAAGTGGATGGTATTTCAATAATGATAATAATTAAGTAATGATATAATAAAATAATTAGCAACGTTACAACATAAGTTATATGTATTTAAACAAGTTTACTGGAGACGGAAGTAAAACATATTAAAAATATAAAAGTCAACTTGTCAAAAGTTGACTTTGACAATGACATTTTGCTTAAACGTCGTATTTTATCGATTCCAGGTACGAATACATCAAAAGTCGTAATAAGTCGATTATTTAATCAAAACAATTATCGATGTTAATAATCATACCTATTTATTAATACATTTTTATTATTTTTATGTTACTGGAATGGCAAACATGCTGACGCACCACTTAATGTTTAAAGGTAACCTAATAGTTAGTGGTATTATTCTGATAAATAAATTATTGCCATGATTTTTATTAGTGTTAAATTAGTGCTAGTTGGTGGTTTGTATTCGCATGGTTCGTAATGAAAATATAAAGTTACAATGATTATTTAAAAGAGCAACACGCAAGTTTCTTGCTTGTTCTTCTTGTGATGAGCTTTCCGAATGAGCGCTAGATTAGAAGAACGATAACTATGACTGTTCAAAAATGTTTAAATTAAATTTATTTGAACAAATGATTTTCTATTTTATTCTTTATCGGATAATAGTTTTTTACGTAATCGATTAATTGTCACATCCCTAATCGATTCACTAACATAACCTCCAAAATTGTAACCTACCACCTGTTTATTGTTATTGTTGTATTTTTAACTACCGGAACAGAATAGTTGTTATTAAGAATGAGTGTAGAGACAAATAATAATCCTCCTAACAAGAGAGTGAAAAAGAAACGTAAGAATTTTCTGGCTAATGCGAAGAAATACGCGAAAAAGGGCCAAATGGGGCGCGGAACTAGAATGTCTGAGGAACTTTATCAGTACTTTGTCGGTATATTGGAAGCTATGAAGCAAGGAATTGAAGATGATGTGGAAAGAGGTAAGTAACATAATGTTTATGTTATTTCATTTACGAAATTTTTAGAATATATTTTGTTTAAAGTACCAAGCAACCATAAATAAAAGTGGCAATAACTTAGCAATATACTAGCTGACCCAAACGTTGTTTTGCCATATAAATTGAAATCGCTATTAAAAAATAGGGGTTGGTGATAGCAGGGTGAAAATTTAGGATTGTATGTATTTTTAATGGCACATAAAAAATAAACTTGAGGTCTAAAAAATAAAAAAAAATCCAGAGCGGATTATAATATAAAAAAATTGATGTTCATAAGCAGCTAAAAAACCAACAATGAAATTCACAAGGAACTTGGCATACTGACAGTAAAGGAGGAGATCCTCCTCCAATTGTAAAGAAAAATATAAAAAGTGACTATGTAACCACCCAAATCAACTGGCTGCTCAATTACTACAAATACTTTACCCCAAGCGACTAAAAAGAAACGAAATTGTGTAATGTTTGCAGTATGCTTAAGGAGTAGATCCTCCCGCTGGGGCGGACACTCCATTCTTAGATTCCACACCCAAAAAATCTGCTCATAATTCTGGGACTGAAGAGATATATAGGAAGAGAAAAAAAAAATAAGCAGCTATAATGTCCTACATGATTTTTTTCTGAATCTTTACTTATTAATTTCCAGCATCACTAGTTAACAATGTGCTTGAACGTACCAAAGGTGAAGAATTGAATATCGTCGGCAATCAGCTTGGTTGCAGAGTTATTGAGATCCTCCTGCCATACGCCTCTGCTGAAGACCTGGAACGATTCATTGAAATACTATCACCGGAACTTCGTAAACTCTGTTCTGATAACTTCTCAAGTCACGTCATAGAGACTATGCTTCGTGTATCATGCAGCAGAGCAACTGAACATTTACAAAACAACAGTGAGGAAGAACCGAAGAAGAAAAAGAAGAAAGAAACTGGTTACAGCGAAGACCATATAGAAAATTGTTACGAATTCACATTAAAAATATGTAAATATGCACTTAATAATCTCGAAGACTTTGTTTGGGATGCATATGCCAATCATATATTGAGGAGTGCATTGAAATGTCTAAGTGGAATTACTCTATTACCAGGCGAGAAGCCTAAAGTTAACCTTTTTAAAGATGCTGTCCAAACAGATAAGGGTATACCACCCCATCAAACTGAAATGCAGTATAAGAATGTAACCGATGAATTTAAGGATTTAGTAAAAGAGTTTGCCCACAGATTGTCTTCATGGCCACAGTTTAAAGATCTACCTTATGAAAACCTAACATCAGCATTATTACAAGTGTTGCTATATGCAATTAAGAATGTAGATAAGAGTGTTACTAAAGAGTTGATAAAGAAGTTGTTGAATGAGAGCTTTGCTCCCGAGGACTGGGCGCCAACTGGTGATGGTGAGGAGAAAATTGGTGATGATAAGGAGAGAATTGGTAGTGATGAGCAGAAAATTGATGATGATAAGGATGAAGCGAGAACAGATGCTATTGTAGCTGTTAGCTTACCACCAGTATTTAACAACCAATCAGCGGTAAGGTAAGTATTATTATTCCACATGTATACATATAAATAAAATTGGAGTGTATGTTTGTAATATTGAAATAAACATTTTTTTTACGATTTTTGTCTGTCTGTCTGTTTGTTCCGGCTAAGCTCTGTAATGGCTGAACCGATTTTGACGGGACTTTTATTGGCAGGTAGCCGATGTAATAAGCAGTAACTTAGGCTACTTTTATTTTAGAAATATAAAGTTAAATTCCACGCAGTCGAAGTCGCCTGTACAACTAGTAAGAATATAAAAGTACATACATATCTAGAAATGGCAAATGTCAAAGAGGAAATACAGAAAGTCTGGAAAAAACAGGTTAGCCGGCCATAAGAACCAGTCAGCTTTGAAGTGACTGAATACGAATAACTGTCCGTCTACACAAAAAAGGGCCCGCCTAGCCAGCATCTGAAAAAAATAATTGGTGACACCTCACTGGATGTGCCTTATCTTCAAATTCAAAATAACTTTATTCATGTAGGTCTATTAGTCGGTCAGAAAGTAGTAGGACGATCAGTAGTAGGTCAGAAAATTAATTGGAAACATCTACGTTTTCCATCTAATAAATTTTACTCGACTGTTCTCGCCGTAAGCCGCTGTGATAGCAACTCTCGCAGATGCTGGTGACACTGTCACTGCAGTTTTTTTTTAATAATTCTTCAAATTCAAATTCAAAATATCCTTATTCATATAGGTCTATTACAGACTCTTACGATATGTCAAATCCACCGTCAGTTCGGAATGATTCTGAGATGAGAAGAACTGACAAGAAACTCAGCTCGTATTTTTTTTAAATGTTGTACATATTTACAATAATACTATTTCATTTAAAATTCAAATTTGGGAGAATAGAGTGACCACCAGCATATGGTATATAAAAGAAAAAAAAATTATCTATTTAAAATGTTAAGCAATTCCAATTAGTTAAAAATATTCAGATTTATTACATGAGTAACGACCTCTGTGGTCTAGCGGTCTCGCACACCGCTTTACGTCCGATGGTCGCGGGTTCGATTCCTCGCACCGCACAAACATTTGTATTCATGAGTATGATTGTATCAGTCTGGGTGTTTTCTATGTATAATATGAATGTATTTACGAAAAAAAATATCTATGTATTTGTATCAGTTGTCTAGTACCCATAACACAAGCTTTAGCTAGGTTAACTTGGGTCTAGTTGGTGCTGTAAGAATTGTCCTGTGATTATTATTATATTATATATTATATAGCTTATAATCGCTCGCGTTTTGAATTTCTCTAAATCCTTTCTTAGAGGATGCCTCGTCATAGTAGCGTTCAGCCCCATCGGTTTAAAATTGACAAACTTTCATCCCCTATTTTATCCTCTTGGGGGTAGAATTTATCAAAATCCTTTCTTAGCGGATGCCTACGTCATAACATCTACCTGCATACCAAATTTCAGACCGATCCGTCCAGTGGTTTGGGCTGTGCGTTGATAGATCACTATGTCAGTCACCTTTGATTTATATATATTTAGATGACTACGATATGATACGATTTCCTTTCAGATTGCTGGAGGCAGCGTTATTCGTTGCTAAAAAGAAGATGTACACACAAATATATGCACGCTGCTTTATCAACCGGCTCGGTCAGCTCTCCACTGTGTCTATGCTTAATTTCACCGTTCAACGGCTCATAGATAATTGTCAGATAAAGGAAGAGGTATGTTGCTTTTAAATTTATTGCATTTATTTATTTGAGCGACCAACATGAGTTTATAATTATTATCACTTGCAAAAAGTTCAGGTATATAGTGTTGACTTAATTACTGGTTGCCACGACATGCGTAAATGTTTACAGAAGTTTATATATGTATGCATATTTATCTTTAAATAAATAATACTAATTTATAATATTAGTAAAAAGTAATATAAATGCCTATTTCAGTTCGAGCCAATGTTTGAGGAGTTGTCCAGCAAGTTCAGCGCGATACTGGCGAGTGGCAACACTGGTGTACTGGTCGCGCTCGCTAAAGCCTGCCTGAGGATTAAAGCCAAACAAATGCAGTTCATAAACGTTAGTATTGTATTAAAATATACTTTACAATTATATTTTTATGTAATTAATAATAGTAAGATCATCAATAATCAAATCATCAATCATCAAGTAATCCAGCAACAAATCATCGATTATCAAATCATATATCATCAAATCATCAATAATCAAATTCTCAAGTAATCATTCATAATGATCCATCATCAAATCGTCAATCATCAAATCGTCAACCATCTAGTCATCAACCATCAAATAGTCAACCATCAAATCATCAATCATCAAAGCATCAGGTAATCAATCATCAAACATCAAATTACCAATAATCATCAATAATCAAATCCTCAAGTAATCATTCATAATGATCCATCATCAAATCATCAACCATCAATTTATCAATCATCAAATCATCAGGTAATCAATAATCAAACATCAAATCATCAACCATCAAATCATCAAATAATCAATCATCAAATCCTCAACCATCAAATCATCCATCATCAAATCATCAATTATCAAATCATCATTTTAGTGGCTTATGAACATAAATTTTTCTGTATTAATATTTTTCCCTACCGTCTAGTTCAGTATACAGATTCAAGTAAGAACTGGCACTTACGTAGATCATCTACGTAAGTACAAACTGGCTAACATTAAATGCAAATTCCGTGCATGAACAACTATTGCCATGCACGTTTGTCTAAGGACAACTCACACAGCGCCATCTAGTTCCAATCTAAGCAGAGCTTGTGTTATAGGTACTAGACAACTAATAGATACACTTAAATGTTTTTTTTTGTAAATACAATATCGCGTTACTTTCGATGGTCGCGGGTTCAATTCCTCGCACGGTACAAACATTTGTATTCATGAGTATGATTGTTTGTAGTGGTCTGGGTGCTTTAATAAATGTTATTTTTTTATAGATGATAATGGAATGGTGCACCCGCCTGCGCTAACGGTTTACGCTGGCGGGGCACCAGTGGAGGATGATAAGATGAGGTCAGGTCAGTTAGCCCATCGTGATAAGTTCACGAAGAATTTATCACGATGGTTTCCAGGGGGAATCGCGTGGAGGTCCTGACATGTTACATTGCTAGCAATATGATCATCAGTTTTTACTACCCCATTTCTAACAATCCCCTTTCCCCCTCGCTGTTTTCTATGTATATTATGTATGTATTTACAAAAAAAAACTGTAATTGTATCAGTCATCTAGTACCCATAACACAAGCTAGAGCTAGCCTAACTTGGTCTAGATGGAGCTGTGTGAATTGTCCTGAGATTATTAATATCATAACATAATTTTAATGGGAGCTCATATCCTAACATTCCAGAGTCTGGAGTCAGCACTGGTTGCTGATGAGGCACAGCAGAAGTACTTAGCAGTGTTATGTCTGAGGTTACTGCCGGGTGCTCGCGTAGACCTGGACAAACTGGATCAGCAGTACTTCATAAACGTGCACGGATCTGTCATACTGCAGTGTATACTCGAGTACCAGGTATTTAAAATTACTATCCACGACCTCAGTGGTCTAGCGGTTGTGCACATAGCTTTACTACCGATGGCCGCGGGTTCGATTACTGGATTTTATTAAAATAAAATATATTTTCCTTACATATCCTTACTAATATTATAAATGCGAAAGTAACTCTGTCTGTCTGTCTGTCTCGCTTTCACGTCAAAACTACTCGATTTAAATGAAATTTAGTACACATAGTCTGGACCCTGAGAAAGGACATAGGCTACTTTTGAATGCGAAGAAAGGGTTGTAAGGGGTTGAAAGTGGGGATGAAAGATTGTATGGAAGAATCATCATTTTTGAAGCTAAAAGCTTGAAACTTATTTTTGAGGCTGATGATTAAATATGAATAAATATGACATTCAAAATTTGTAAAAATTTTACCCTTAAGGAGGTAAGGGGCTGTTCAAGTATTACGTAAGCACTATAGGGGGGACGGGGGGTCTTTTCTTTACTTATTTTGGATGACATGGGGGTGGGGGAGTCTGTATGATGATTACGTCATCGGTCGTAATTTACTTTTTTACACGAATGGCAACCCTCACATTGTCTTTGTTAAAAAAACAATACATTAATTGAGAAATGTTTACGTAAGCATGGGGGGAGGGGTAAGAGCTTTGCTTACTTTTGCTGACAACGGGGGATGAGGGGTAAATAATTGTGATAAATCTGCTTACGTAATACTTGAACAGCCCCTAAAATATCATATATGCTATAATTTAAAAATATATTATATAAATTGGGCGATATATAATGATAAGTGTGATGCAGACGAAGTCGCGCGGGGCAGCTAGTATTATATATTTATTAAGCTATCCTATACTGACAGACACCGTTACAGTTTTTCGGTATCTCCCCTAGCTTCAGTTTACAAAATTCTAAAATCATTTATTCATGTAGGACATTTTAGCCGCTTATGAACGTCAAGTTTTTACATTATAATTTTTTTTCCCTACCGTCCAGTTCGGTATATAGATCCAATTGAGAAGAACTGGCAAGAAACTCAATTGAATTACTTTTTTTTTAAATCAAGTTGTATTTACAATTCATAGGTATTTATATTACACATTCTGTCCCCGCATACATGCTCTCCTTTCCTGGGGTGCAGGGTAGGTGGCGTACGACCTGCAATCAAAAATATTTACATAATATAAAATGAAGTCGCTTCCTAAGATCGATCCCCCGTCCAATTCAAACGGGGATCGAAATTACGACGGCCTGAGCCGAGGTTCAAACTGAAGTCGTGTACATCAGGCGGGAGTTGTCCTTCAGCCGCTCCATAAGTCCTTCCTTTAGTTTGGAGTGCCATCTGCACTCGCCCCCTATCGCCCGATAAAGCTGTAAAGGCCAGCTGCGGCTAACAGCATTAGAGTAGTCTGAAAAAAACTTTTCTACAACTAAACTTCAACTTTCTAATATAAAAATAGCCTACGTTACTCCTTATAACATTAGCTATCTGCGAGTGAAAGTCCTTTCAAAAGCGGATCAGCCATTTTAGAGCCAGAACAAATTATGTTTTAAAATTAATATCAAAACAAAAAAAACTTATTTTTTAAACAAAAAAGCTGTTAATTAGAAATTACGGACACTTCAATTATATATATACTAGCTGCACCCGCGACTTCGCCCGCATGGAATTTAATTTATACAAATATAATAATAGCTGAAGCGAATATATAAATAAAAAAAAATATGTTTGATTGTATGTATATATGTAAATTTCTATATTTTTCCAGCGACCGGCAAAACTGGTGACGAGTCTGCTGGAGCTGACTCCTGAGCAGTTGCTGGTCATCTTCACGGACGCCAAGGGTTGTCATGTGGCCGATGCCTTCTGCAAGAGCCAGTGTGTCGGAGTCAAGTCTAGAGACAAGCTCGTGTGGAAACTGAAGGTAAGGTCCCCAATCTTACCTATATATTATCACCATCAGTCCACTGCAGTCCACTGCTGGACATAGGCCTCTCCCAAGGCACCCCACTGGGCACGATCTTCAGCCCTTCTCATTCAGTTACTACCCGCAACCCTGCGTATGTCGTCGCTTATAACTGCGGGGCGTCCTACACTACGTTTGCCAATTCGCGGTCTCCACTCTAGAACACGCCTACTCGAGCGAGCATCGGTTCAGCGACAGATATGACCAGCCCACTGCCACTTCGACTTACATTATAATAATAACTAGCTATTGGCCACGGCTTCGCTCAGATGTACATGTATTATACATATAAACCTTCCTTTTGAATCACTGTATCTATTAAAAAAAACCGCTTCAAAATCCGTTGCATAGTTTTAAAGATTTAAGCATACATAGGGACGGACAGACAGCGACAGCGACTTTATTTTATACTATGTAATGATAATAATAATAATATTAATAAAACAGCGTCATCTAGTCCCAAGCTAACTAGAGCTTGTGTTATGGGTACTAGATGACTGATATAAATTAAAATCGCTATTAAGAACCATTATTGAATGTGGCAGACATTATAAAAAGAAAAATAAAATACTTTTCCAAAAAATAAAAAATAATATTTGGGGTGGATAACCCTTATCATTTGGGGTATGGAAAATAGATATTAGTTCAATTCTCAGACCTACTGAATATGTATATAAAATTTCAAAAAAATCGGTCAAACAGTTTCGGAGGAGTATGGTAACTAACATTGTGACACGAGAATTTTATATATAAGACAACCAAAATAAAATTATAGTTAAAAAAATGTGTCTGTTTGTTCTGCCTAATCTCTGAAACCGTTGAACCGATTTTCTTGCAACTTTCACTCGCAGATATCTGATGTTATAAGGAGTAACTTAGCCTACTTTTACTTTTAAAATCTTAGCTTTATATATAGAAATTATGTGTCACGTTGTTTGTCCGCGATGGACTCCTAAACTACTGAACCGATTGCAAATTTGATTTGCACATTGTGTGCAATTTAATCCAACTTGAAAGATAGGATAGCTTACATCTCAATTTATAGTCGCAATATTATTTTATTCAAGAACCTTAGACACAGCAATGCGTGGCCGAGTCTGCTAGTTTATAATATTTCCACACGGACGAAGTCGTAGATAACAGCTAGTGAATTATATTTTTTTTTGTCTCTCTAGTAATTATATTATATTATTCTAGATAATTCATATAGTCTCAAGGTAAGCAGAGCTTGTTCTTCCTTCCAGGGATTCTACCAAAAGCTAGCGCTCTCCCAGTACGGCTCTCGAGCATTCGAGGAAGTCTTCAACTCAGCAACCAACGAGCAGAAAATCAAGATCATGCTCGAGATATCCGACAAGAGCAGTCTACTGAACGGCTCGCAGTACGGACGACTGCTGGCGACCAAACTTGGCCTCGACACGTTCAAACAGGCGCAGAAGAAATGGGAACAAACGCATTTGAAATCTGACAATAAATGATTATAAGTCATTTTGTTTTTTAATCTATAACAATACTATAATACATCATCAGTCCACTGCAATCCACTGCTGGACATGGGTCTCTCCCAAGGCATGCTACTGGGCCCAATCTTCAGCCCTTCTTGTTCAATCGTTGCCTGCAACCCTACGTATATCGTCGCTCCACCTAGCTGCGAAGTCCTACCCTTCAATATTCAGTTGGTCCAAATAATACATGAAACATTTTTGGGCTGGTTAGTGGTAAAAAATAATTGTAATCTGTTCTCAGACCTACTAGCTATATATAAACAATTACATCAAAACCGTTTAAGCTGTTTCGGAAGAGTATCGCAAGAATTTTATATAATAATATATATAGATTATATACATTTTTTATATATCCCAATAAGCAGAAAGTTAAGATCATGTTGGAGATATCCGAAAAGAGTAGTCTACTGAACGGCTCGCAGTACAGACGACTGCTGGCGAACAAACTCGGCCTCGACATGTTCAAACAGGCGCAGAAGAAATGAGAATGGGAAATGGGAAAATTTCAATATTACAAACACACACTCCAATTTTATTTATATGTCTAGATTTTAAAAGCCAGTTTATTTACAATGTATATTTAGGTGTCTATGTCTAAAATTAAATGAAAATCCCGTGCGTGAACAACTATTGTCATGCACGCTCGCCATTCAAGTAATCGTTTAGTGAGTAATAGGCTTTGCTCAGTAAATATGATTTAACAGATGTTTTGAATTTATTTAAGGGTAATTCCAGTATATGCTTTATATCATTGTAAATTTTTATACCTATTCCCATAATAACAGACTATACTTATATCTATGTTATGTGGAGAGGTACTAATGGAAGGGTCTCAAGTGTTGACAGAAATATAACAAGTATAGACTCATTATTATTAAAATAAAATATATTTTCCTTAGATATCTTATATATTTACTAAGCTATCCTAAACTGGCAGACACCGTTACAGTTTTTAGGTATCTCTCCTGGCTTGAGTTTACACATTCTATCCCCGCATACATACTCTCCTTTCCTGGGGTGCAGGGTAGGTGGCGTACGATCTGCAATCAAAAATATTTACATAGTATAAAATGAAGTCGTTTCCTTCGATCGATTCCCAGTCCAATTCAAACGGGGATCGAAATTACGACGGCCTGAGCCGAGGTTCCAACCCCTAGTGGTGCCCTCAGACTAAAGTCCTATCCGTCAGGCAGGAGTTGGCCTTCAGCCGCTCCATAAGTCCTTCCTTTGGTTTGGAGTGCCATCTGCACTCGCCCCCTATCATCCGGTGAAGTTGTAAAGGTCAGCTGCAGCCAAAAAAAACTCTAGTCGCTTAGATTTTCTGAACTACGCAACAGATTTTAATGTAATTTTTAGCTATAGATAGAGTGATTCAAGAGGAAGAATAAATCCTTAGAACTATGTAATGCGTCTTATCTTGTAATTTCATTGCCTAATCGCCACACTACAACTGAAACACAGTTTCACAGCTCTTCAGCTGAAATAGGCAGGTGAGACTGAGGTCAGTACAGTCTACATCTCTATATACATATAATCTTGATGCACTCACCGCCTTTCACTCCAATTCGATTTCCGCCCTTGACATCCTGTGGCGCACGTCTTTGTCTGTGTTTAGGGTATATGTCCACTGTGGGCCGATTGATGAGACGCCGTTTGGGGTTTATAGGGGATGCAGACCCTACCCACGCCACCACCAGTATTGCCAGCAACCAAATCTGGAATTCACAGAACGATTTCATTAAATATGTATCGCTCCTAAGAATATCCTTCAATTCTTGTCTTTGATGAGTCTAGGTAGCGAACGTTGAAAAAGGGCGAGCACAATAGATCTATGTAGGTCGTAGTGCTACAGGTCCATGCACCTGACAATAGCCCAAAAAAAAACAATAAAAAAAATACAACGCCGTGAATCGATTTCACTAAATATGTTTTGTTACAGCCCGCCGTGGCCTATACTAGTTAATAATTTAACCTCATTTGTCACAAGTGCACGTTAGGGATAATCCATAAATTATAATTTTAGTCATTTTTCCTTAAGTTACAGCTGAACAAATGCGGCTGAAGTTAGGTCTAGGTGGAGCTATAATCTTACTAATATTTTTAACGAATACCTTAAATATAACCTTACGAAAACAAATCCTTGGAACGGTGAGGTCGCTCCGTAAAGCCTGTGAAGACACCAAGAGTATTCTGCGCTTTTTGGAGGAGCTTGGCAGGCTACTTCAGTAGTCTGGCTCTACACGCACAACGGCCCAAAAGAGAGGCTAATTGCGGAGACTGCAGTCCAATTTACATTTACACTTACAATCTTACTAATTTTATAGACGTATCCCCTCCGATCGATCCCCCATCCAATTCAAAGGGGGATCGATATTACGACGGCCTGAGCCCACGTTCGAACCCCACCGCTAGGGGTTCAAACGTAGTTCGCTTCTTCGTGGTTCGTGGAACACCTCAGTTAGCCTTCAACCGCTCCATAAGTCCTTTCTTTGGTTTGGAGTGCCATCTGCCAGCGGAAGGACTTATGGCGTGACTGAAGGCCAACTCCCGCCTGACTTTACTTTAGCCTGAGGACACCGCTTGTAGTTCGAACCTCGGCTCAGGCCGTCGTAATATCGATACCCGTTTGAATTGGATGGGGGATTGATCAGAGAGGTACAGATTGATACGCAAATGATGTTATTAAGCATATATTTTTAATAAGATTGATAATAAAACTTACCAGACTCCTCATTATCGCTCGTATCACGTTTGTCGATAAACAAGCAGTGACCACACCGGTAGCCGAGAGAATGAGCACGATTTGTTTACATCAAGATGTGTCGATGCACTGTACTCGAATGTTACAGAGTAACTTTATACTACATTAAACAGTAGGTCAACTGTACACAACATATTTTTTATTTTTTTTTCTTACGCTGCTGGTCACTCCATAAAAAAAGTCCCCGATGGTATATGTCTATCTCTTAAGGATAACCCACAATAAACATTTTTTATCCGTTACATTTTAAGGTTTACATTTAAAATCACTTCGTAAATGGCTTATTTACGAAGTGATTTTGAACAATACAGCATTAATTTTTATCCAATTAAGTACCTTAAATACATTGTCCATTTAATATAGATCAATTTGGCCCTGTACAGCATTTAATTTAAATGAATATTTCCGAAGATATTACAGATTTAAAATGCAGGGATATAGCGGTGCGACGGTACCGGCCCGGCCAGCGGCGCTAAATAAAACATATTTGTACTGTCTAATGACAAAATTGTTGTTTATTCTGTAGTAGGTAGGTATATTTAGTATCAGCATAGCACCCGTGCAAAGCCGGGGCGGGTCGATAGTACTAGAGGTGTGTCAACTCGAGTTACTAACTCGAGTTAATTCGAGTTGCGGTGAATTCGAGTTAACTCGAGTTGAATTCTGCCAACTCGAGTTGGAAGCATTCAACTGGTAAATGAACGAATCAAATGAAAAAGCGAGAGCATGAGTCTGACGTCGAAAAGACAATGACATGAAATTTTCCGATCATTTCATATCATACAATTTTCACTTGTTTTCAATATTGATTTGAGGTCGTTATCATTTTTTTTTCGCATATTCGTCCGGTTATGTTATCAATATATAATGATTATGCGTTCCATAAGTCCTTCCGCAGCCTTGAAGTGCCATTTCTACTCGCCGCCTATGGTTCGGTGAAGCTTTCAAGGCTAGCTGCGGCCAAAAACATTAGATTTGTTCGAAAAATAAAACAAAAATAAACTGTTTTTTCCACATAACTCGAGTTACCTGAATTTCAACTCGAGTAATGTTTATTACGAGTTAGCACATCTCTAGCTAGTACTACAATGTTGGTGTACTGGATGTTTTTAATCTGTACAACCAGTTGGACCCGTCCTGACGCCTTTTATGAATCAGCTTCGTGTTAATTGCTTTATGTGATTCATAATACTTATTTTATGCGTAATTGATCCATAATGAATTCATAGTGGGTTGGAAGCGGTATTTCCTATATTATACATTATTATGGGCTTCAAAATAATAATATAGTACACACCGTTACCTAGATACTTTAATATATCGTAATACTAGCTGTACCCGCGACCTCGTCCGCGTGGAATTTAACTTTATTTTTCTAAAATAAAAGTAGCCTAAAGAAATAAAAATTATTTTGTTCATCTTAATTTATTCGTTCCATTAGGTACTGATAGGTTCAAACTAATATATTTTCATCCTGCATCATCCCTTTTTTTATCCCCATGGGGGTTGAATTTATCAAAATCCTATTTAAGCGAATGTCTTCATCATAGTAGTAATCTTTAATTTCAGTTCAATCAGTCGAAAATCTAAGAAGATTTATACAAACTTTCATCCCCTATTTTATCCCCTTAGGGGTGGAATTTATCATAATCCTTTCTTAATTGATGATCCTTGATGAATTTATCATAATAATTCGGCCGGGTAGGAATCCAGCCGAATTATTATTTATATTATTTTTAAGTCCATAGACAATTAGTCAAAAATACACCTCTCTAAATATAAGTACTTAGAATAGAAATAGAATAGAAAATCATTTATTCAAATAAACTTAATTTAAGCAATTGAATAGTCATAACAATTTTTTTTATCTACCACTCGTTCGGAAACCTTTCTCATCACAAGAAGAACGAACAAGAAACTTGTGTGTTGCTCTTTTAAATAATCCTTGTAAGTTTACATTTACAAGTCGAAACGTGTGAATACAAACTTTGGTAGTTTACACTCCAGCATTAAAATGGTGAAATAATATTTTTTCTCAATAATTCCAAGTCCATAGACAAAACTAATCTATTCAAAATTCGACATATTGGAGTGGTCAGAGCGCAGGCTGCTAATTCCACTGTCTGTCGCACTCTCCGTCTGTCTGTCACGTCTGATGCCGAGTACTCTACCGTTGCTCTGATCACGTGATGAATTTTGATTGGAAACTCACTGTAGCTACACTCTGTGGCTCATATAGGATTGTTTTTTTTGTTGATGATAATGGAATGGTGCTCCCGCCTGCGCTAACGGTTTACGCTGGCGGGGCACCAGTGGAGGATGATGAGATGAACATGGGGTCAGGTCAGTTAGTCCATCTTGGCAAATAATAATAATAACCCTGGACAATTAATTCAACGCCATCTAGTCCGAAGTTAAGCTCAACTTGTGTTATGGAACAACTATATATTATAACCATATACGAGCTGTTCCCGAGACTTGTCCGATTGGAATTTTTCTAAAATAAAAGTAGCCTAAGTTACTCCTTATTACATCAGCTACCTACCAATAAAAGTCTCGTCAAAATCGGTCCAGCCATTTCAGAGAATAGCTAGAACAAACAGACAGATAGACAAACAGACAAAAATTGTAAAAAATGTTATTTTGGTGTATGTACCGTATTTACATTCATATGCATGTAGTAAAAAACGGTTATTTCAATATTACAAACAGACACTCCAATTTTATTTATATGTATAGATTATACATACTGGAGAACAATCCTGTAGAGTGGAAAAGGGATTTGTAATAATGTGAACTAATAATGCCATTGCTAGCAATACTATACTCGGTGGTTTAGCGATATAGCTCACCGCCTTACTTCCGATGGTCGCGGGTACGATTCCAATGTCTTTGAGTATGATAGTTTATAGAATAGAATAGAAAATCATTTATTCAAATAAACTTACATAGAAACACTTTTGAATAGTCATCACATTTTTTTTAATCTACCGCTCATTCCGAAAGCTGTCGCATCACAAGAAAAACGAGAAAGAAACTTGTGTGTTGCTCTTTTAAATAATTTTATTGTTACTTGATTCTTTCTTACGTATGTATTTGTCTATATTATATATTATATTGTATATATATCTATATGCTATTGAGATTGTCAAAAGGACTTCTTTTATTAGTTCAGAAGGTCTTCTTGTCAGTTCTTCCGAAATCATTCCGAACTGACGGTATATTTGAAATATCATAAGAGTCTGTAATAGACCGACATGAATAAAGAGTCAGAAGTAAGAAATAGTCTAATCAGTGGCCGTAACTGAAGATACTCATTTTTAGTACACCGCTTTACTATCCGATGGCCGTGGGTTCGATTCCTCGCACGGTACTACTACACGATACTAATGTTTGTAACATGAGTATGATTGTTTGTGTCGGTCTGGGTGTTCTCTATGTATAATATGTATTTATTAAAAAAAAATGCATCCATGTATTTCTATCAGTTGTCTAGTACCCATAACACAAGCTCTGCTTAGGTTGGCCTAGATGGCGCTGTGTGAATTGTCCTGAGATATTATTATATTATTATTTAATATGCTAGGACAGTTAGAAAAATCCGCAATATCCTAAAACCATGGACCATCTACATGTTACGAGACTCACGTCAAAAGTGCCTACTTCAGAACACTCGAAATATTAGTGGCTCTATCATAGCTAAACCTATAACACAAGCTTTAGTTAGCTTAACTTGGGACTAGATGGCGCTGTGTGAATTGTCCTGAGATTATTATTATACTCGACAGTGGATACACAAGGTAATAACTTTTTATAAAAAAAAAATAATCGGGGTAAGACGGCGGGTATAGAAATAGATATAGAAATAATCATTATTCAAATAAACTCATTACAAGCACTTTTGAATAGTCATATTTTGATTCTACCACTCATTCGGAACGCAGACTCATCACAAGAATGAGCAAGAAACTTGTGTGTGTTGACACTTATTACTGTGATTGCTACAATAAGGGGTAC